GAATAGTATAATCTCAGTTTTTTAATCATTTATATGCAAAATATTCAAAAAGAACCATGATTTAATGTCATCAAGTCAGTCAAGTAAAACTTTAAAACTCCAATCAGTTAAGTAGGATCTGAACCATTTAAGTGCAGTACCCTTAATGCCCACACAGTTTTCCAATCTCGATAGCAGAATCCCATGATCCACTGTATCAAATGCCGCACTCAAAATCTAAAAGCACTAAAATGATGTGATTACCAGAATCGGTAGTCATAAAAGACCATTAAGAACTGTTAAAAGCACAATTTCAGTGGTATGTGGTGCTTTAAAACCAGACTGAAATGATTCTAAGATGGCATTAGTCTCCAGAAAGGCCTGGAGCTGAATAAAAGCAAATTTTTCTAAAATTTTAGACAGAAAAGAAAGTTTAGGGATTGGTCTAAAATTTGAAATAACAGTTGCATCAAGGTTAGTCTTTTTTAATAGTGTGTTTAAGATCAAGTGGAACTCCTCCCGTAAAAAGAGAGGTGTTGATAACAGTTAAAACATGAGGGCCAATAGTGTCAAAGACTTCTTTAAAAAGACTAGAGGAGATAGTGTCAAGGTAACACATAGAGTCCTTAAGACGGGAGACTAGTTCAGCCAGAGAGTTCAGAGAAATCAGCTCGAAGTGATCAAACACAACTGAGGAAAACAAGGGAACAGAGGGATCATAGGGCGGAGGAATGAAATAAGACCTAATAGTATCCACCTTATCAACAAAAAAACGTAAAAAGTTTTCACAGGTACCAAGGGACCCTAGTAATTGAGAGGTGGATGGAGGGTTGATAACAGAGTGATTAGTATTGAATAAGATGCAAGGGCTGTAGCTGTGTTTGCTGATAATATCCGATAGGTACTATTGGATAGGTAGTTTTTGCTTTATGCACAGCATCTTGATAAAGAGACAGAGCATCTCTTAACATAGCAAAGGAAATCTGAAGTTTGTCTTTTTCCATTTTCTTTCGGTCTTTCTACAGGTCCTTCTAATGGCCCGGGTGTCCTTGTTTAGCCAGGGATCAGTTTTAGGTCTAGAGCGTTTAGTTTTTCTAAAAGGAGCAGCCATATCTAGGACATTTGTACAGGTGACATTAAACATGGTAAGCAAATGATCAACATTTTGCTTAAAGGAGCAATTGTCCATGATAGGGAGACCAGAATTCTGATAAGCAGCAGAGAATTGTTCCGCAGTAACTGGTGTAATGATGCGGTATTGGCGGACAGGAAGAGGAGGCTTAACTAAGGAGTATGGGACAGAAATTTTGAATAAGACAGGCATATGATCCAAAAGGTTAAGGTTACAAATTTGAACATCCTATAGCTGCAGACCGCAGGATAAAACTAGGTCCAAGGTTTGTCTGCGCTCATGGGTGGGAGTCT